TTTATTAAAATTCCTTTTTTTTTTCAATTGCCTATTAGCGACAAATATGGAATTTTAACTATATTGTTTTAATTAAGTATTGATTTTTTAAATCTTAGTTCGTAGCCTCTAATATTAATCCCTGTGGGATCGATATCCAGAAGTCCATTAGAGCCCTGTATTACTTGAGCGATACGTATACTTGCGTTGATAAGTGTGACTTTGCAATTATTGAATATTTTATACACATCTTTAACAAATCTATAACCGTTGTCAAGTTTTTTAAACCGTTGCCGAGGATTTAAATATTCTAGCAACAATATCAAATTCTTGTATTTTTAAGTATATATAAAGTCGCTGTCAAGTTTTTGGCGCCGTTGCCGGGGATTTAAATCTTCTAGCAACAGTAACAAATTCTTGTATTTTTAAGCATATATAAAGTCGTTGTCACCCTCCTCATATTGATACTCATGTTGCTGACTATTGGAAGGAGAATAATTAGTCTCTCACTAAACTGAGCTCTGTTCTACAAGAACCTTATATCACCCAGATCTCCAATATACCTTTTGACAAGGATAGGCTTGATAAAATTTTATGGAAAACTCATGCACATCAAAGTCTCACCAAAGCCATGTACTCTAGTCTTTTCTATTGGGATGAAGTCCATTAGGGGGTTATTATAAGGAATAAATTCTAGTCACCTTACATGTCCTTTTTCAGTTCGAGAACTATGCACAACTTACTACCTACTGATGACATACTTAGAATGAAAGGTCTGAGGGGACCCTCAAGATGCCACATATGCTTGGAGAATGAGGAATCCATCTCCCACCTTTTTCTTATTGTAGATTTTCATAAGATGTCTGGACTGAACTTTTTTCTCACCTAACCCTGAGGAAACCTGTCTTCAAGTGGGATGATATTAAAGGTTGCTGGCATAGTTGGAACACTCAAAAGATTGCTTCCATTCCTTTTTTAGTTGCTTGGTTTATTTGGAACCTTGCTAAATATGAGGCCAAGATCACTATTGTAACTGTTGTGGTGAGAAACTGTATGACCTTTATCCAAAAACTGATATAAGACAAACATTTCCCTAATATTTGTTCCTTTACAATTAAGACTTCCTCTTCATATAATATTGCCAATGTTTTTTAGAGACATCATAGCCCTCATATAATTAAGATAAATACTAATGGCAGCTTGACCAAAGAAAAATATGTTGAGATTGTCATACCTATTTTATATTGTTTTTGATGATATTGCACTTTAAAGAAAGGTATTTTTGATGTTTTATTGCAGATGATGAGTTAGGGTCATTGGAGCAAAAAGATGCAAAAGGAGCAAATTTGGAGCGAAAAGGACCAAACTGTGAAGAATTGAACTAGGGCGCCGATGGCGAGCCCAATGGCACCGACGGGCCAACGACGGACTTTTCCCGAGACTCCAGATTAAATTCACTTAGAAGGCCCACCAACGGCGCCCTCGAGGCCGCCGACGGCAAGAACGGCGGTTATGTCCACAGATGCATTGAATGTGGACATTTTTTGAAGGGGTGCTTAGGCAACTCTTGGGAAAACTCATCCACATCTTTAAAGAGAAGACTTTGGCCAAAAATAGGAGAGGAGAGACTCCAAATTGAAGTATGAAAAAAGTGTAGAGAGTCTGCATTGTGAGGAATTCTTCAAGAGATTGTAAGAGTGGAGGGAAAGTGATAGATTTCTTCCTCCTTGCTGCTTCAAAGAGGAATTCTGTGTGCTGTAAAGAAAGGAAGAGATTCAGAGGAACTTCGAGGAGTTTTCTTGGGGAGAAATTAGAGATAAGTTTATTTATTGTTGTAGTTTGTATGACTTTGCTTTTATATATGAATTCTAAATTTTGTTTTGTTTTCCCCATGAGACCTATGTCTTTCTTCATGTCATGAGATTTGTGAAATGGTGATTTGAGTTGGTGAAGCCATGAAAATGTTTAAGAAATTATGATGATCTTCTTACTTTGATCTTAATTTACTTTCAAACTGGCCAATTAATTTGTTAAAATATGTTGAGTTTTACGACTAAAGTGAAGATTACATCCAAGATTCAGGGAGGTCAAAGCCCTTGGAAGTTGGGTGAAAATAAATGGGGAAATAAAATTATCATGCGTCGAATTGGAGATTTTAGAGTGACAGACTAAAATCCCCAATTCGGTCCTATCTAGCCACAGATTCAGTAACCAAGCATAGGGTTAATCAATATTCTTTACGCCCGGTCCAAAGGGTAAAGAATAAGTATGCTCCTATTTGTCACAATACAATTTGAACTAATTCAATTTATCCATTCACTTAAATTTCTTGGCAAGGAGAATGATGCTTTCTTATATATTGAACTTCACATTAGGAACTTTATTAGTATAATTAGTTAATTAAGAGTTTATTAAAATTACATTTTTATTTCAATTGCCTATTAGTG